GAGAAGAGAAGAATCGAGAGAGAGATTGAATGAGAGGAGAGATCGCGAGAGAGATTGAATGAGAGATTGAGAGAGTTAGGGATTGAGTGAGAGATTGAATGAGAAGAGAAGAATCGAGAGAGAGATTGAATGAGAGGAGAGATCAAGAGAGAGATTGAATGAGAGATTGAGAGAGTTAAGGATTGAGTTTCTGATTTAGGGATTTCATTGCTCGATTTGAGGCTTTTCTATTTCTTAAAACGGCGTCATTTTCTATCTAACGATGAGTTTAACAGAAATTTAGTCCGTTTAATTGATCTGTTACTCGAGATAACGTGTTTAAATGGGCCGAGTCAACATAACTTTGAGATTTAAATGGTAGTCATCCAAACAAATTTGTTGTTTAAAACGTGTTTTGAGAGTTGAAGATTTAAGTAAGCGAAATTTGAAAATTTAGAATTAAAATGACAGTTTTTCCATTTTATCATTCTAAGTCATTTTAAAACATTTTCTCCCTATTGTAAACAAAAAAAATTGGGCTCTGAAAATTAACCGCATGCAAGAAAAAAAAAACACGTGCGTACCTCATTGTAATGATGCATAAATATCTGAATATTATTTCATTTTAATATATACATGAGATCATTTTTTCTAAGCACCAAGATTGTGGTTCTTTGGATCCGATTCGGGTTGGTTCTTCGGTTTCTTGGGTAGTTCAGATTTTAAAAATTCAAATGAAACTAACCGAAACATAATATGGTTGGGTTCAGTTTAGTTCTAGAGGTTATTCGGTTGTTGGATTTCAAATAACGAACTAACCAAAATATCTGAATTGTTGTTTAAATTCAGTTTAATTCGGACAAATTCAAATAAATTTGGTTAAATTTTTTATAGTTTAAATTTTTGGTTTGATATAATTTTGGTTTCTTTTTAAAACGAGTAACTGAACAGCTATCTGGAACTGAACTGAACCAATAACCGAAGCAGTTTTCAAATCTGGTCGAGAAGTTTCACCTAATGAACCAAAAACCAAAAAAATAGCTATGTGAGGAAGCATTTCTTGCGTCTTCTCCTTCAAAATCTCATTTCTCCATCGATAATATTGCTGAAATTGTGTAGCCACATATCATCCGATCGTGATCTTAAATGTGACCGTCAAATACTTTGGGTGTAACGGATACACTCCCTTCGTACGTATGACTAATTTTGTTGAACACCTCAGTCGTCAAACAAATGTTATCCTCTATGATTCTCTTCATGTAACGACCCGGTTTTTACAACCAGGCCCGTTTGGAAAATTCAATCCCGAACTAAAATAGTTTAAGCCCAATTTCCATTTCTCGATATTTCTTTTTCCTTTGAAAAGATAAATATTCCTGGTTTAGATAAATATTACAATTTTAATGTGATATTAATGAACATTTTCCTAAAAGAATTATGAATATTCTTATTCATAATTATACTTTTTTTTCCGTGGTTATCTTTACTTTTTACCCAAGTCTCCCATTGGGTATAAATAGAGAGGCATTCCCATTCTTATTCTTCATTCTAAACTTTCATAGAACTGAGAAACCCTACAACTCTCTTCTCTCTCTCTTTCCAGCGCCGAGTACTCTATCTCCACCATTTCTCTCTCCTCTTTCTTTCTCTCTCATCGCCGCTTCCTCTCTCTCCTCACCGTGTCCCGCCGTTCATCTTTGCCGCCCTCGGATGATCGCTCCAGCCGCTTCCCGAAACAGCCATCGTCATCCGCCACCGCTGTGGAGGAGCCGCAAGTCCACCACTTTCGGGATGGACCCGTTGCCGCTCCGTCCAGCCGCCCCATCCCGGTGTTTCACATCGATGATGAGCAGGAGTCTTCCCGGAGTCACGCGCCGCCGCAGCAGCAGCCTGAAAGGTTGATTAACCCGGCGTGGTTAGCCACCGTTAATCACCTCGCCTCCTTCTCTTCTCCATACCTCCCCTCGCCACTTCCTTCGCCACCTAGGCCAAGGTGAGGATGAATCTGTGCTTGAATATTGTGTACTCTGCTTTTCCGAATGTCTAGTTTGAGGTTAAACCAAGCACAAACTACTTTCTGCTTTAGAACTGAGTCCCAGTAAGGTCATATTAGGTTGCTGTTTGATATGTGATCGCCTAGATGTGTTTAGGGTTTTTAAACTGAAGTTGCAGGAGAGTTAAAACGAACATTTACTTGTGTTTGAAACACCTTGCTTGTTTGATTGTTGTTTGGATCTCTTCTATGATTGTGTGATCGCCTAGTACTTGTAAAAAGGATAACACGTTTGGCTTCTAGCGTAGACAGTTATCTTGACATTGCCGGTTCGGTTTATATTATCAGAATCGGGTGTCACAAGTTTGGTATCAGAGCCAAGGTTAAGACTCTTCGGTTCTGTCCCGAAGGGTCGGTCCTAAAAAGTTTTAGTGTTGTGAATCCTATGTGCGCACTTAGCTCACTTTACAACTGTTTGATGACTCACACCTATGCATACTTGACATCTGACTCTTAGCTTTTCTTTCCCATGCCAAACAGGGCTCATACCCGCGAGACAGCCCGGAAACGGACCACTCCGATTCTCATGGTTCCTGCTAGACTCGCCCGACCCGCTCGGATGCCCACTCAGGATGAGGTGAACGCATGTTCTGCGCTAGCGACCGACGTGCTCGAAGCTGTTCAAGCTCGGGGCACGTGTCGATCCTCTTCTTGTAGAGTGATGGCCCAACATGTCCAGCCAACACGTAAGCGCGGACGTCCCTGCAAGAACCCCGTATTATATGTTAGGTCGGATGTTCAGCCGTCTTACCCCCGGGCAACCCAGGGTGGACGTTTTGTGGAGCAGTACAAAAGGGCCTTCTTTCAGGACCTGAATGAGAGTGGCAGAGAAATCTGTTGTACTCTTCATGCTGCATTAGCATTCCGAGAAGGGCTGAGACCGGAAATCCGCGGGAGTGTACCTTACCCCGAGGAAGACGGACTCGTTCGGGGTATCAGCCAAGTCACTAACCTGGCTCGGCTGGTCGAGCAGGATATCGAGGAGGAATGGAGGCAGCAGGAAGAGGGTGACTATGAGTCGGACCCGTCTAAATGCAAGGTCCCCGGCGACAACGACTACGACCCGAGACGTGTCTAGGAGAAGCTGCTTGAAGACTATCTAGATTAGGGCTACGCTTTTGGGATATTGGAGGGGGGATTCATTTTTATTTTAGAAATTAATTTATTTTTAATTTATGCATTAGATTTAAGAGTCATATTCTATGTTGATTGATTGCTTGATTTATTTTAATAAAAAAATTTGCTTGCTTAAAAATGATGGTTTCCCGAGTCTTCCGTTCTATGAACATTTCGATTTAGCCTTTTTTGGTATGACTTCCAAGTCTTCCTCATCGCTTTATGCCGGCCGTGGAGGTTCATGCTTTAGAATTCGGGATGAATTCTCGTTAAGGGAGGGAGAACTGTAATGACCCAGTTTTTCAAACCAGGCCCGTTTGAAAATTCAATCCCGAACTAAGACGGTTTAAGCCCAATTCCCATTTCTCGATATTTATTTTTCCTTTCGAGAGATAAATATTCCTGATTTAGATAAATATTATATTTTTAATGTGATATTACTAAATCTTTTCCTAAAAGAATTGTGAATATTCTTATTCATAATTATCTTTTTTTTTTCGTGGTTATCTTTACTTTTTACCTAAGTCTCCTATTGGGTATAAATAGCGATCCCTTCCCATTCTTTTTCTTCATTCTAAACTTTCAGAGAACTGAGAAACCTTAGAACTCTCTTCTCTCTCTCTTTCCGGTGCCGAGTACTCTCTCTCCACTATTTCTCCCTCTATCTTTCTCTCTCATCGCTGCTTCCTCTCTCCTCACCATATCCTGCCGTTCATCTTCGCCGCCCTCGGATGATCGCTCCAGCTGCTTCCCGGAGCAGTCATCGTCATCTGCCGCCGCCGTGAAGGAGCCGCGAGTCCACCACCTTCGGGATGGACCCGTTGCTGCTCCGTCCAGCCGCCACATCCCGGTGTTTCACATTGATGATGAGCAGGAGTCTTCCCGGAGTCACGCGCTGCCGCAGCAGCAGCCCGGAAGGCGGATTAACCCAGCGTGGTTAGCCCCCGTTGATCACCCCGCCTCTTTCTCTTCTCCATACCTCCCCTCGCTACTTCCTTCGCCACCTAGGCCAAGGTAAGGATGAATCTGTGCTTGAAAATTGTGTACTCTGCTTTTCCGAATGTCTAGTTTGGGTTTAAACCAAACAAAAACTACTTTCTGTTTTAGAACTGAGTGCCAGTTAGGTCATATTAGGTTGCTGTTTGATATGTGATCGCCTAGATGTGTTTAGGGTTTTGAAACTGAAGTTGCAGGAGACTTAAAACGAACATTTACTTGTGTTTGAAACGCATTGCTTGTTTAATTATTGTTTGGATCTCTTATGTAATTGTTTGATTGCCTAGTACTTGTAAAAAGTTTAACGCATTTGGCTTCTAGCATAAACGGTTATCTTGACATAGCCGGTTCGGTTTATATTATCGGAATCGGGTGTCACACTTCAAATCATCAGCTTTTTTTGGAAATCAAAATGGAGTGAATAAGAAGAAACTCCCACATGGAAGCCTATCAAGAACATACCAGAAACCCTAAGAAAAACCCTATCAAGAAAATACCAGAAACTCGTGTTACAAAAACTTTTGTAGCCGTAGGAAGTGTCTTGAAGAGCGTGTAAAACTCATTGTTTAAAGAGGCGTTGAAGAGGAAACAAATTATACATATTCAACTTAAAATCAATTGGCAATAAGCGAAGTGACTCACAAATGTTTTGTATATTACTTTAGTTCATTTCCATTTCAAATATAGCCTTAATATAATATTGATTTCAATATAAATTTAGAACGATGTGAAAAGAAGATAATCAAGTTATATACACATATATATCTAAGTAAATATTTAAACAAATGAACGAATCGGGATCAAAGTTACAAAATTCTAGACGCTTGTTTTAAGAGAGTACATAGTCTTGCGGTCACGCTTGTTTTTGTTGTTGAACTACCAAAACAGAGACCTTAGAGCTTAGCTCTTTAGCCGCTAGCAAATCTCCAATGACACCTAACTCTGGAAGTTGGACCCACTCTGTTAGTCCTGAGAGATCTGGTGATGCCATTCCTTGATCTCTCCCAACAACCATAAGATCATGCTCTCCGTCGAGCAATCGGACGATGCTTGCCACCTCAATACTACTAGTCACAACCCTTTCTGTATAATCAACATTTTTTATATCCTCTGTAGTCTTGAAATCCTTTAAGCTCTCATTATCAAGAATGTACTCTCAGTTCGCTGACTCCACTTCTTGGTTGAATAAGAGTCTGATCACGGTTACATGAACCCTCGGGTTATGTTTCATCCTCTTCACCACTGATAATGCTTCCCTATCATCTTTGCCTCCAATGAAAATTACACATACATTGATGGTGTAATTTTTCTGGCTCGTTACATTCCTTTTACGTGAGAAATGTCCACGGTCGATTAGGATTCCAATGGAACAAGGCGCACGGTCGAGTAATGAGAGGTTGAGACTCCGTATGGCATCATCGTCGGACTCGAACATCCCATCTATTGTCCATGTCCTCCCTGAAGGGACGATAATAATTGAACTCGTCTGGTCAAGTGCGAGCGTGCAGATGTCCTCGTGCATCATCTTCTCATATGAGAAAGCGGTAAATGTAGTCACAGTTACGGACTTCAAGCTCTCTAACATGAACTGTCTAAAGGCAAGATTTGCGGTATGGATGTAGGAGTTGTTGTGAATTCCTTTGGACTTCTTGTTGTTTGAAATCATGATGGGGTTGATCTGACCAACGAGCTTCACGAGGTGGAGAACCGTGACCACGATAGGTAAATCAAGATTCGGTGAGGATAACAATTGGAGGAATGCAATGGTGTGTGAGATATTCTCTGGTTTGTGCAAACAAGTTAGAATACGGAGATCGGAGCTTGGTTCCAAATTCAATATGTTTCTTTTTTGATAGTTAAGATACTTCCGTTTCGGATCGTACAAGCTTCTTATGACAACAGGTACAATCCCAGCATTTATTAACGAATAAATGATCAAGAACGCGTACGTTGCCTGGGATATATACTGCAAAACAAACCATATAGTTATACCTTTCTATCACGCAAAAAAAAAAACCAATTATGATTATATACATATTGCTTTTGGATTAGAAGGTTACCTTGTCGTCTAATACGGATTCATAGAGAACGAAATCAGAGAAACTTTTGTAGCTCAAGATGATGGAAACAGCTAGGGATTGGTTGAGAGGTAACTTGAAGTACAAGCAAGGTGCAAGGCATGCGATCAATTTTAGGATAAGTGTTAGAACCGTTAGGAAGACGTTGTAGACGATGTGATTGAACTCGCTAAAGATCCTTATTCCATCACATCTCATCACGCTAACTATGATCGTGATTGGTAGGAACACGTTCATTGTGAGTTTCTCGTACTTAGCCTCCAATGCGGACCCTAATGGTGGACCCTCCGGTATTATGAGACCAATCACTAATGGTCCCAAGACATATTTAAAGTTGAATAACATAGAATAATAAGAGGAACCCAATGCAGCCAAAGTCATGGCGTGAACGTACTTTTTCTTCACGGGCTTGCCTTCCGGTGTTTGGTTAATGATCCATTGCACAATCGGCTTAAAAACAAGAAACACGATGAGAACGAAGATGACCACTGCGATTGCGTCACGATAGGCTGTCATATGTGAAATATTCGTGTACGTTGCCTGGACAGAGGTGATAACTATGGCAATGATCCCCAATATGTCGTTTATGACACATGCAGACATTGCAAGGCGACCGATCTCAGAGTTGAGTATCTTGAGCTCTAGCAAGATATATGTTGTTGAAGGCAAAAGTATCGAAGATTGGGTTATGACGATCACTATGCGCTCGCCTAGTGCTGTTTCTGGAGTCATGTAATGAGAGTCGATGCTGTCCGAGAAGAGATTCTTAAAAGTGAGACCGAACAGAGGAGCAAAGAAGGACAAGGTCCCAATCACAACGGGCAGTTTTCCGCTACTAAACGCTCCTCGCCGGCTGGTTCTAACCGTCATCAAAAACGTAAACATTATGGTTCCAAACACTGAGATGCTTCTTAAGGTCGCGTTTCCATCAAACGCAGGATCCATAGATAGTTTCCCTGAAGATTTTCCCAGTACATCAAAAAGCTGAGGCCCTAGAATCAGTCCAGCCTACATATAAATTTATAGAGTTATGAATGTGAAATCACTTTTTTCTCGAAATTAGACAATCTTGAATAGCACGCATGATCCCTGTTAAACAATTTACTTTCGTATCAAGTTACATTTAGTTTTCTTTTCCTCTTGTGCTTGTCAACTTACGTATGGAAGGTGTTGTGAATTCACGGGAACAGGTTTAGAAGAAATCGATTAAAATTTATAGAGAAGACGAATTGAGGCAAATACAATTAAGTTTTTTTATATATATCAAATTGTGCGAATAGACAAATTACTACAATTTATCTACTGATTTTAAAACAAATAGGAACAAGATAAAGATACTTTTTGTTTTTTGTTTTGTGAACTTACGATCATGTAGGAAGCAATCTGGGAAATGCCGATGCGTCTGAGGAACATATGAGATGAAGATGAATATGAGTAACATCTGAATCTCTAATAGAGGTAGCGAGTACCCAAAAACTACATCAGGAGATTTTAGGCTCTCCCACAATCCATCAGAGGAGATGTTGAATAATGATTCTGCGCAATCGCTCATGTAGGTAGTCGTATTCATGAATATAAGCCAAGAAACTAGCAAATCTGTAATAATAAAAAAAAAAGTCTTTGTTTTTGTTTGTGTGGTTATAAATAGAACCCGAGTCTTTGAAATTGTGTTTTGAAAAAAAAATTATGTAGTTTTGTTGTTTAGCTTTTTTTTGGTCTTTGTTTTTATAAGATTTGTTTAGAGTCAGAAAAAGTTAGTGGTAACTAAATAAATACTCGTGTCTAACGCGAGTTTTTTTTTAATAATTATATTAAAAAATATTTTTTTTTCAAAAGAATAAATATGATCTTGTAAAATACACTATTAATAATATCTAAAACAAATAAATAATAAAAGTTTGAAGAATATTAAGAAATAAAGAATTACACCAAAATAAATTAAATCTTCAACAATCTTTTTGGATAATTAGAATCTATATTGTTATTCAATATTTACACAACTATGTTATCTATTCGGGAATAATTTACAGGTGTTAGGTGAATCAGTTTAAAACATTATGAATTCAACGGGCAGATTCAAACATTAGAGGATGGGTCATAGCAAATGTGACGGAATGAGAAGAGATTATCTTTATGTTTATTCTCCAATGCTAAAATCAGAATTTAGACATGTAACTGATCAAAAAAAAAAAAATAGGACATATGAAATATGTTTTTGGAAAGGTTAGTCATTCGGGATTTCGGGTTACTCGCTCGGATTAGGTAGAGTATTTCGAGTATCAACCGATTATTATAAAATTTTAAATTGGATTTGGATGTATAGAATTTAAAAACTAAATAAATATAAATAAAAATAATATTATCATTATTATAAATATATTTTTATTTATTTAGTGATATAAAATTTTTTTATATGAATATTAAATATCATAAATATTAATACAAAAAAATGTTTAATGATTAAAGAAAGAAAAATACTACTAAAAAAATTATCGAGTAGTTTGATTTTGCCAAAACATATCTGCAATGTTGTCTCTTTTTTGCAATGTTTTGAAACCCGATCCAGAAAACAAACTGAAATGTCTATCGGGTCACTGGGTTTTCGGGTTTATCTGGGTTGATCCAGGTCAACTCCGAATTAACTAATTAATAAATTTCTATATAATACATATATTATACAGTTTTAAAGATAGAAAAATAGATTTAAATATAAAAATATAATATTAATTGTTCAAAACATAACACAAGCAGCTGAAAACAAAATTCATTACAAATTACAAATCTTAAAACTCGACAAAAGTCAGAAAATAACAAAATCCTATAATTTAATTAGGGATTATTTATAATAAAAAGTTTTTTTATAAAAAAAAATTACTGGTTTAACTGGGTTAACAGATCACTGGGTCATGAGTTACTTTTGAATTTTTCTGGATTTTACCATGTTAATAAATTTCAGATTTTAAGAGTAGATACGACCTGGATGAGTGACCGGGTCCCGGTTTAACCGAACGAACCGCCCGATCCGGGTCAGGTTTCAAAACATTGCTTATTAATTTACGTCATATGCTCTCTATCTGTTACTCCAGCTGTGTGTGTCATTTGCGTCAGGTTCTAAATATTTGTTGTTTATTCTTGTCTCTGTCATTACATATGCAAAATCTACATCTGAAATTTTTGAAATTTTGATAAAATTATATAAACACATCTCCACTCATTGTATAAATAATACTAATTATAAGTGTAATATATAATAAAACAAGTATTTATATCAAAGTCATTATAATAAAAAATTTAATAAATGTTCTAAATATATAAACTCTTTCCAAATCTAACAAAATTTATTCATATTTTCGTCATTATATATAAATGATAATTATAATAAATTTATCTAGTCTAATTATTTTTTTGCTAATGTTTATTAAACTAGAAAACTAATTATACTTTAACTCATTTTATAAATAAGAAATATTCTAAAATTATTTTATGAAATAAATCAATTATTTTATCAACTAATTTTTATTTAATCTTAAGAAAAAAAAGATTATTAATTTATTTTAACATTCTCTTAAATATCTACTATATATTTATATGAACCATTTATATAGTATATTTATTATTTACAGTTTATTATATCTATACTATTGAAAGAGGATCATTTTTAAAAACTAACATTTACTTAACGTGTTATTTACATCAATTGCCATTAATGAATTTATATCAATATTATGTATAAACTATGTAAATTGTACTAACAGTTATTGATTAACGATAAGTAAATTAGCCTGAGAAGCTGTATATGTGCGACTTTCAACCATTTGTTGAACCGTTTTGTACCTGCTTCGATCAACACACAACAAACAAAACACTACTTAACAATCACTGCTAATACATTATCTCTGATTGTTTTCCAAAGTCCTATCAACCAAAAACGCACATTATATGTTTCTAATCAAGTGTAACTAATGTCTTAACTTAAAGAATACCAAACCATATGTTATCAAAATGATTTCAATACGAACTCGGTGATCGAAGAAAATCTTTTTGATTTTTAAACTTTCAATCCCGAACTAAATCTGTTTAAAATGTTTATTTCAAATCTAAACAACAACACCTTCTTTCCATAACTAATCATACTGTTTTTTAACAAACAAGATTTTCTGTTAAACTATATCCTTTAGCAACGAATTAAAATCAAATACATTATCATTTTCAATAGATAGTATATTCCGTATATCCAATCAATCTATAAAATCTACCATCAATATATGTTCTTGATAATCTAATGTTTGCCTGATTATTTATCATTTACTCTACCATTTCTTTTATATGAGCACTAAATTTAGATCCACATTGTGATATAAAACCTTACTTGGCTATCCAAAAGAGATCAAACAGCAACATACCAATGAAGATGAAGTATTTCAGAAGAAATGCGCCTTGACTGAAACATGCAAGAAGATACAAAATGACATTGTTAAGTTAAACCAAACCATCGAAAAAACTAAACCAAGCAATTTCTAACTTACATTATAGCAACATTAGTAAACCCAACCAACGAAAATTTAGAGCAAGTGTGATTTCGAATATTATTCAAACAGATTTAGACTAAATGTTAATATTCTATATTTTTTGAAATTAGATTTACAATAACTCTGAAATCTTCACAAAATCTCGGTGCAAATATAGCCGATTTGTTAAATTGAATATTCTGAGAATGATTAAACAACTTGATTGCTACGAAAACATTTAATTCAAATTCTATTTAATCCTAGATTTCCTAATTTTTGATAAGATTTACTTAACTTCCAAGATTGCATTCTAAACAAAGATTTTCTCTAATCATTGTTGTATAAATAGATCATATCTCATATCATAACAAAACTACAAAACCCAAACTTTACAATAGAAGTTTAGATCGACTACAAAATAGATAGCTAATCCTTTTGGTTCACATATCTTAATGACATGAAGCTTTCAAAACAGGTTGGCGAATCCAAATAAAAGTTCTTCATGCGTGCTTGAAAGCAATACACAGAAGCATCTGGACAACCATTGGAGATGACTCTATCAAATGTAAAGTGTAAGTAAACGTCTTATAGAAATCTAAATACATGCTTTCCATTCAAAAATCTTAATCTCATTGTGTACAGAATCGGAAAATCCTTTGTCTGTGAAGAATCTACAATGACATTTATCTACAAAACAAGGGAGGATATATAAAGATCCTAAGTGTGTTACAATGAAGAAATCAATAGTCTAGAAGTGTTTGTCAAAATGATTCAAACCCGTTTTGCTCATCAATCAGGTAGTAAAAAACATATTTAGAAGATTATTAATTATAAACATTCAACTATAAACATTTTAGTAGGAAAATCTTTTCAAACTTTTGAAGACAAAATCAAAATTTAACTTATACCAAAGAGTAAAAACTTTGTTTATTTATTTCAACAGGACATAATTTATTGATCCGTAGGATTCATTAATCATCTCCTATGTTGTTTTTTTTAGCTTTCTTATACAGATATAGTTCATGAAGATGATGAGCAAAGAGGACTCTCCAATGCATTCCCCTCCGATGGATTCAAACTGGATAAAACAGTATCCACATTTCTCTATAATACCAGAATGAATTCAACATATATAACCAACCAATTACCTCTATCGATAGCTTCCCATTTAGATCACTAAAGAAACTAGACAAGATGAGAAATAGTGGGTTATGACAAAGTACTCACAATGTAAATGATCAGATATATATCCGGGTGAAAGTTTCATTTTCTTCACAGTAGCTAAGAAGGTTCATTTACTTCTGAGATAGAACACGCTGGTAGCTATGAGGAGAAGCAGAACAGCACCACCTATGCAGCCAATCATTAGAGGAACAACCATTGAAGAAGAACCAGATCTTCTTGGAGCGGGAGAGTTTGCGAGAGGAACAAATTGAGGAGGTGAAGGAAACATCTTGTGTAGATGATTTCTTCCGTGGCTCCGGAGCTGCATCTGTTGAAACAGATTTTAGAGAAGGTCTCGGGGATGATGATCGTGGCGTGGTGGATGCAGCCGCACGACAGTGCTTTTTTTTCCAAGCCAGGTCATTGTACGTGAGTTGGTTATTACAGACAAGTGTTTTCCTGTAAAATCCAACAGCTTTCCTACAAAAATTAAGTGAATTTCATTTCAACATGCTCTAAGTGTGATCAAAATGAGTATAACACTGAATTGTCAAATGAATGTTTAAGGATGAATAAGAAAATCTTCCAAGTATTTAGGTTTATAATTATAAACAGTTCTTTCCACATAAGGATGAAATCGCTTATTTGAAGTTGCTCAAGTTTTGGACTGATTGTAGAAACTGTAAATCTACCAAACCCTGAATGATTGCAGATTCCAAATAAATCACAAATAAAAAATTAAGTTACAAAACGGATTTGATGAGTTATTATTAAATCGTAGCAAGTAATTGCCAAACCATGGAGAAATGAATCAGCAGATTAAAAAAAATGTCTCAACTTCGAATGGAGGAGGACTTGAATCTGAAAATCAAAAGTGATCTTAATCCTAAATAGCTACTAGATTGAAATTTAGACACGCTTAAA